ATGTGACAACAATATTCAAAACATAAATGAATGGAAAACTTTTAAATATTTAAGATAAATTCTGGAGAGAAAAATTGTCTCGCACAACACAATGAACCAACTTTTCTAGCAGCAAGCCTAGTAATGGATTTATAGCGAATCCCGATAAAAAAAACTAATAAAATATAAAAAATAAAATATATAAAATATACAAACAAAAAAATAAAAAGAATTTAAATTAAAATAGGTAATTTATGCTTTCCTTTAAAACCCTTATCTCTTGCTTTCTCTCTCAACTAACGAGAAGGCAACCCTCAAATAAAAAGAGGACGAAGAAAAGACTGAACCTGACCGAAAAACACCCAAAGTTTGCTAAATCAGAGTCTACTTATTTGGGACTGAAATATACCAAAAATCAGGGAGGCTTTACTCATAACTTCTATTATAAAAAAAAAAAAAAAATGAAAAAGAAACGAACGTCGGAAAATAAAATAATTTTGGCCAATCAAAAAATTGACACAAAGAGATTTTTATAATAGCCGAAACCAATGTTCGTTCCAGAGTCTTGGAGCCTGATCAAAACGGATATAGGCTGACACCACCGGATTAGAAGTAAAAGAGACAGCGAGAGTATAAACCAGCCATGCGTGACGTGTGAAGTAGTAGTTAAGAGGTCATCTGCTAATCATATTTCTGCCCTGCTTAGGGCTGAGAAAAACACAGTATATTGGCACTGACCTATTTCTAGTATTACTACTACCCCTATCATGGCCTGACTTCAAAAACTACCACCTCCAGACTTACTCCATACTACCAATATCCACCTCATAAACAAACATTTTTGTGACATCGAATATCAAGGGACATCACTCTAAAGAAAATAAATAAAAAATATTTATTTTATACTCTTGTTTCAGTTCGTTTTTATTACAAAGTTTCCAGTAAAGAAAAATCTTATCACCAATACACACTGGTGACCCCAACGTGATGCACAATTAACACAAATTCAGTATAATTTTTCCAGTCAGTTCTAATATTTAGTCTGTGTGTTATAGAGTAAAAATCTGGAAAAAGTATTTTCAGTGGTTAGGAATTAAGGTAAGCATTATTAATTGAATGAGTTTATTATTAATTGAATGAGTGATTTTTATTATAGAAAACATTACACAAAATCTTGCTATAGAAATGCATTGAAAATCAAAAAAGGAATGGATTTTCAGTGATAATGAATTATAAATTTTTTCGTCGGGAGCAGTTAATTCCACAAAAAGTTATAGACAAAGACGGACACACTTGAAGAAGAGAAGCAACTCAACGACAGTATTAAATTCAATGGGTTTAATGTACAGAAAAGGGCGTATGCACAATAGGTAAAAAGAAGACTTGCAAATATAATTTATATTTGCGGACCTATTAGAAGAGTGTCCAAGAAATGAGTTGGATTTGCGGTCGAGTTAGTAGCTTCTGCGTTCCATTAACGTTGGAAAGTGCGGCTCCAATAAACGTGTAATCACTACGGCTGTTAGTTGCGAAAGAGGAAAGGTACAGGATAGAGTTTACCTCGTAGTCACAAGAAGGGATCCTGATTGGACAGCAGTTAGCCAATCAGATTCCCGGATTAGTAAGGGTTTCAAGTTCAACTCTGATCCTTGACTGGTAAAGGGTTAGCTCCCTTTACTATCCCTTTCAATTTCTTATAGAATTTATGCAAACATTATTGACTGTAATGAAACAACCACTATCTATAGAAGTCAATACAGATTTTAGTGTTTTTCTAGGTTTCAGAGTCTGTCTATATTTCTGAGATGAGGTATTATGTACATTATTTACATTATTCGGACTATTGTCCTCATCTTTGTGGCCATATTTATCACAACGTTTCAGTCGTTGTACGCTCCGGCCTTCTCCCTCAAGGACACATGGCACAGTGGATAAAGGCGTTGGTTAGATCCAGTGATAGGACCCAAAGAGTGTGAGTTCAATACCCGGTTAAGGCAGTGGAGAACTTTCAGAGGGAAAGTTAGCAGGATATAAGGAGATAACTGACATCCATCAAACATGGCACGTGGAACTAGAACAGTCTACCCCAGTGAGCGAAATAAAGGGTTCAATTCGAAATTCCAACCACCTGAAGAAGGCCGGAGCGTACAACGGCTGAAACGTTGTGATAAATATGGCGACAAAGACGAGGACAATAGTTCGAATAATGTGAATAATGTTTTAGGTTTCACTTTTGAAATTTGATCTAATCCTGGACTTGATTTGTATATCCTAGAAAATATAAGCGTATGACCAAGTGATTAGAGCATTAGCATTCTGGTTTTGAGAACCAGGCTCAAATCTCAAGCTGGTCAATTTGTGAAGGAGGTGATTTATTGATAATTTCAGCTTGAGAAGATGATCCCAGTGTGTGGTACATTTGGAAAGTACCTGAGAATCATATTGCCTGTTGACTCAAAGTTTATGATTGAGACTGGTTAGACAAATTGTATTGGAAACTAGCACAGAGTCATGTCTTCATCGCATGAACAGATAGAAGCGCTTCAGCCTTGATGGTGTCTTAGTAGAAGTGGCCAACCATAGGAGTATATGGGAGTATATAAGCCTAAAAAAAAAATACCACGATGACCGATATTCTTAAAAAGAAAATTAACGTGAGTTTGTAATCCGCCACAGACGGAAATAGAATCTTTTTTATGTTATTTATTTAAGGAGAAACATTCTTCAGGAGGGCAAGTATATTCATAAACAACGTTGGTCTTACATAGAGGGTTGGAAGTTTGGGATAAATTATTTTTAATAACTAAGTTGCTAGTTTTTTTTTCTGGTAGAAAATAATGAATCTAATATATTTATTTTTATCGACTGGTTTTATATCTCTATGTATGATGTTTTTTTTATTACTGTATCTTTTTTATAATTATGAGCACTCTAGTGTGATAGGTGGCAGGTGAGTCTCCGTGAGAGTGTGGTTGTGGTATATCCTATGTAAGACATTTTTTGTGTGTTTTTATTTACGGAGAAATATTCTCCAGGTGGGAAGTATATTCATAAATAAAGTTGGCCTTTTTCTAATAACTAAGTTGCTAGTTTTCAATTTTTTGTAGTAAATAATGAATCTAATATATTTATTTTTATCGAGGTATGATGTTTTTTTATTTCTGTTTCGTCTTTTTCATAATTGTGGTGCACTTGATTTTGATTATATATGTTAATAGCATTATTGTCAAAATTATGTTTATGAATGTAGTTTTTATTGTTAAAATTGTTGTTTAAATGAAATGTTTGTTTTATATTGTTTCATTATTTAAGGAAAATTATTTTAGATTAGGAAATGAGTTTAGCCCTTTGGATGAGGTTATTAATGACAGCAGTTTTATATTTGTCAGGATATTCATTGTTGTAATTTAAAAGTAAAAGTTACAACTAATATTTATTTGTTTGTTTAGTGGCATATCAACTCTTTATGGGTTATTTAATGCCAAAATTTAATTTTCTTGGGGACATTAGTAATTTCTTTTACAAAACATTTTTATTATGGAAATGTATTGCTGGTATTTTTACTATAAAATTTGTTATACTTTCATAGTGTTTTGACCCTAGTTTGGGGATTAACTTATGTCCATATCTGGGACCCTAACAAGTGCTGCCATTCCAAGTCAAGATGGACCTGGGAACTATAGCAATTAAGAGGTGGTTCTACGCTCCTCAAAAGCGCTCAATCAGAAGCCTTGCTTTCGGATGTAGTTTATCATCATACCCGGAACAACAACGAGTAGAATTTTTGTACAGAGATGTTGTAGAATTGTTATAGTCAATGAGAATATCAAGAAATATGATTTTTTTTTCGATATTTAGTTCATAAGTGAATATGAAAACAGATTTTTTTTCCAAAGATTTTTCAAAATTCTTTAATGTCGTTAACGGATTTGGTTTGGATGAAGATGCTATCAATATATCTGGCATAAATGGCGTTTTGTTCTATTTTATTGAATATTTTGTTTTCTAATTTGGCCATAGTAACATTAGACAGCTACTTACAAACAATACCGAAATATTAGCAAAATACTAGTAAAAACAGACTCATGATCCTTGAAGCAATATTCACATAACAAATACAAACATCTATAAATTAAAATGGTTCAAACATCTATGAATAAAAATGGTTCAAACATCTATGAATAAAAATGGTTCTACTAGGAAACGAGCAGCAAGCAATTATACACACGCGCGCGATAGAGGTCTGATCAAAAAGTATCAGGACTTGCTATGGTAATGGAACTAAGGTACACAAAGTGAAACTGCTTGGCACAGATTGATTTTGAACTCTGTTGTGCATACACACTAAATAATAACTTTCATTCTCATTTCCTTTGTTTTAGCAGTGCTTTGAAGGAAGGTGTGTAGAGTGTGGTTGTCTCACCACACAGCAAATGTCCCACCAAGGACCGTGGCTTGTGGAGCATTTTTTGACTAAGGACAACATTCCTCAGGTTCAACAACCACCAGATTTTAGCAGTGCTTTGAAGGAAGGTGTGTAGAGTGTGCTTGTCTCACCACAAAGCAAAGGTCCCACCAAGGACTGTGGCTTGTGGAGCAGTTTTTGGCTTAGGACAACATTCCCCAGGTTCAACAACCATCAGATTTCTCAGATTTCGCCACTTGCGATTTTTCTCTCTTCAAAAATCAAATCTCTCTTGTAAAAGACAAGATTTCAGGACGTCGAAGAAATCCAAGAGAATGCAATGAAACAGCTGCTCGCTATTCCTAAAAAGGAGTTCCAGAAATGCTTCCATCAATGGAAACGACACTTGATAAAGTATGTGGCTTCAGAAGGGGATTACTTTGAAGGTGGTTAGATGCCGAATTGATTTGTGTTGTTGTTTTCTTTTTATAGCACCAGTTCCGATACTTTTTGATCAGGCCTGAAATCAGTGTGGATCAATAAGTCCATTGCCTGACACAGTTATTGACTGAGTTTTGATCTGAAATGTTTACTGAATAATGTTCTTTTTTTACAGATGGGGAACATGGCCTTACAGGCAACTGAAAAATCTTGGCATACCAGGCCCAAAGCCAACTGCCTTTTTTGGCAATCTTCTCGATATGAAGAAAAAGGTATGATATATATATGTTCTTAAATCAAAAATTACTACAAAATAGATAAAGTTATTATTTAATATGAGCATTATACCTAGCATCAAATATGGTTAATCAATAGTTTAAACTGAAAATCCATACTGATTGATTATAACTAAATAAATAAATATAGCTTTCCTATGCCTTTCCTATAATGTTATTGGTCCTGATCTGACATCTCGTCTTCAGACACTTTTCCACCTACATAATGTAAGTTTCCTGTGCCTTTTCTATAAATACTTCTATGGTAATTGTTCTGATGAACTTTCCTGTATAGTGCGTAGACTTCATAAATGGAAGTGCAGTACTACTTTGACAGCAAGGTCTTATCATTTTACAGTTGAAATGGCTAGATGTAACCATAAGTTCTACGATAACAGTTTATTTTCTCACACTCTTCACATGTGGAGCTCTCTTTCGGCTTCTTGCTTTCCAGTCAACTTTGACCTTCAAAAATTTAAATGCAATGTCAATCGTTATCTTCTGCCTTCTTAATTCTTATTCTTTTATTGTTCTCTCTCCTTAATAATAATTTTTCTCATATTCTCTAGCACGCAGTAATCTCTTGCAACTTAGTGGCTTTATTGCCTTGTTTTGGGTGAAATGATTAAAAAAATCCAGATGTCCTACTAAATTTTTCATACCAAACGTTCAATAAAAGTGTGCCATGTCTATATCATAGTATTAATAAACAAATGTAGAATTACAACAGTATGGTAGTTGATATGTTGCAAACAACGTTTAAAGTTAAAAACTCAAAACAGATTTTAGAAATAGCTTTAAGCTATATGTACCAATCTTTAACTACTTTTTAAGTCAGAAAAAATTGTACCAGTAAATGTTGTGTCTATGAAAAATAAACAAATAAAAATTAATTATAGTGTTTAAAATATAATTATAATAAAATAATTATAACATTTATAATATCATTAATTCACTTATTCTAAACGAATGAGAATCAACCACACGTTTCTCAAAAACACAGCGCATTCTTATTGTCGGGTAGTTCACACGGACAACTCGTTAACACATGCGTCAACAAAAATCTCATCTCCTTTTCCTTTTCCATGCCATAATAGTAACATTTATCTTTTAGCATTCAACAAAAATTCAAGGTAAGAAAACCTCAGAAAATTTTTTTTATTTTTCCAACTAAATTATCTAGACACTTGTTACACACATCTATCTATCTATCTCGATATATATATATATATATATATATATAAAGCATACAAGAAAGTCTTTGCTTATTCTTTATCTTATCTTCCTGTCGGATTCCGATCCATATTTGATTACCATTTGACTCCCAAATTCACAATTATACTCTCTCTCGTTTCTTCAACACCACATAACAACCAAATAATAAATAATACTTTTTTTTTGTTTCCACGTCTTACTGTTTCTGATTTTTACGGGTATTTTTGTATATATAAATGTAAAGGTGTTTATAATTACTTAGAGTTATAACTCCTCTACATACGAGGTCTGTCAGAAGAGTAAGGGACTGGTATGACAAACAATTTATTTCAATTCAAAACAACTACATGGTTTCCCCTTCAAAGTAACCCCCCCCCATTCTAATGCACTTTTCCATCAGTCCTTGCCACGATTTTATGCCCTGCTGGAAGTATTCTTCTTGGATGCCCCTCAGTTCCGTCATTATGACCCTCTTGATGACCTCGACATCTTCAAAACTGACCCCTCCCCTTTGAGCTTGTAGATAGAAAAAAAATCACACGGATCAGGTGAATAGGAAGGTTGTTCCAGTACGGCAATGTTCTTCTCGGTCAGTAAACACTTCTCTACAGAATACCTCACAAGTTTACAATCTTGCTAAATGTGTAAATTCTTTAATCATTTTACCACAAGCAAGTCAGTAATGCCATTAAGATGCAAGGCTTTATTGGGGTGAAAGAGAAGCAAGTGACTTTAGTGAGGAGAATGGACAATAAAAGAACAGGTTTCAGAAAGACAGAAGATGGCGATTGACACTGCATTTAAATTTTTGAAGAGTGTAGCTGGCAGGGAAGCAAGAAACTGAAAGAGTGAACAATTTAGCCGCTCCATCAAATGAGAGGTTTTTGAAACCCATTTTATTCATATACTCATTTTTTTTCTTTACTGAAGAAGAAGTGTATTTTTGTACATAAAAGTCATTATTCTGAAAGCATTTGACTTCTTCTTGAAACATGGCAATAAGTGTGCCTTCAAAAAATCAATGTATAATTAGAAAATCAGTCTTCACAAAGACTGTTACTTATTACCTTTGATTTTCCTTATGTCTTTTGATTCAGGCTCAGATATTTTGCTTTGTCCTCACTGTCACAATACATAGAAATCGTCATAACTTGACAAAAGTAGATTTTTTATAATTTCTATACCAGGGTGTATCAAGGGTTCTCAGCACCCAGGGGCAAATACAATTTCGTTATTCCCACCGGATAAATGTAAAATTTGAAATATTTTTGTGATCTTTTTTCTTTTTATGTGCCATGTCCTTTCAGGACGTAGATGATCATGGCTCTCCCCCTCCCCCCTATCCCTTGCAGCTCTCAGCAAGCTCCTTCCTTCTGCTTCCTCCCTCAGGCCACGTTCTGTCATCCACATGCTCAAGCTTGTCAGGTATGTCACACGCTGCTTTTTCTTGTCTCTCTTTCCCTCTATTCAACCCGTGAGTATCAGATTCTCCAGGCCCTCCTTCATCATTATGTGTCCCAGAAACTTCAGCTGCTTCTTTCTAATGTTAAGTATAAGCCTTCTCCTTGTTTGTAAACTCTCTAAGACCTTATCGTTGCTGACATGCTCGGTCCATGATATCCTTAGCATCCTTCTGTAGAACCACATCTCCGTCGCCTCGAGTCTCTTCTTTATCTTCGAGGAAATCATCCAACATTCGCTGCCGTAAAGGACAGATGTCACGTAACACCTCAGTATTCTTTTCTTCTTCTTTTTTTCTTCTTTTTTTTTCCAAAGAAATCCTCCTGTCGCGCAGTAGTCTGCCCAGCTTTTGGAATGTGTCGTTGGCCATCCCAATACGTCTACGGATCTCAGTGTCGCAATTAACGTCCTCTGTCATGACGCTTCCCAGATATTTAAGCTTCTGCATCTGCATGATTCTAGTGTTCCCGACCTGAAAATTGCATTTTGGGCTCTTCCTCTTACTGATGACCATGAATTCTGTCTTCTTGTAGTTTATGCTTAGTCCTTTCCTCTCACCCTCCGTCGCTACCTTCTGTAGATTTTGTAATTTCTCTTCCGTGTCTGCTATAGTGATTTTTAAAAACATGCGTGAACGCGCCGTTATAGTTATTTTAAAATGTTAAAATTTATCCGATGTAGCTATCCATGCAGACTTTATTGCTGTTACAGTAATTATGTCATTGTAATTTACCACTGAAGATGATCTTGGAAAAGATCGAAAGTACTTGGGTAAAAAAAAGAATAGTGCCTTTCTTGATGAATTTCATTTTAACACCAAAAAACTGATAAGACAACTGGAAAGGATCAATATAAAAATAAATAGGCACAATATGTCTATATTGTTCAATGAATCATGCTGCACACACACACACACATATATATATATATATATATATAAATATATATATACCCATTTTCCTCTCACTACCATCATCAGGAATTAAACATATGGACACTACCAGGCAGACACAAAACTGCCCACTAGAATCCAGACACACACTCTAACACCACAAGACATAAACACATGAGATCTACTTGACCGTTGAAAAACAACACAGAACTCAAATGTACTCTTCCACAAGTCATTTCCAAAAAAATTATGATGAAGCTTAAATAAAACCGAAACCTTTTAAATTTATAAACGATTATTTGTTCCTTGGTCTATCATATACATACATATATGCATACATATATATATATATGTGTGTATATATATGTGTGTATATATGTATGCCTTATATATATATATATATATATATATATATATATATATATATATATATATATATGTCTGTATATATATATGTATGTGTGTATATATATGTATCTGTTTATATATATATATATATATGTGTGTGTGTATATATATATATGCTTATATATATGTTTGCATATATGTGTGTGTATATATATATCTATATGTGTGTATATATATATATATGTGTGTGTGTGTGTGTGTGTGTGTGTGTGTGTGTGTGTGTGTGTGTGTTCGAATAAACACATATCTTCCCCATTCTCGAAATATACATATCAAAATCATGTCCGGATATGCGGGTTGCCGGATATGAGGGATTCCGGATATGAGGAAGTCTACTGTATACATATTTTGTTTCTGTTTTTAGGGAGTTTTTAAGCTGGACCCTGAACTTCTGAGTAAATATGGTGATGTTGTAAGGTAACTATAATTTTGGTTTCGTATCTTCACACTCACACAAAAAGAATCAACTGCATTTAATCTTGAGGAAAAAATATTACTTTAAAATATTCCAGATACTTTGACATTAATATTTATTAAGCTTAGCTTAGTATGGCATAAGATTTGAAGAGTTGAGCATCAACTATGTATTAAACCTACTGAAATAGTCTTGTTTTGAAAGACTAGCTAACTAGCCATTGTTCAACTGTGAAGCAACAATGGTAATATTAGTAATAATAATATTAGTAATATTAGCTGTTTCCTTTTAAGGAAACATTTGGCAACCACTGACCGGGCAGACCATGCTACTTGATTTATTGTTATCTCCACTTCTGGCCATCGCACTTTTTTCACTTATCAAAACATAGCGATCTTTACTTTAGGCCAAGTCATAATGCAACTCACGCACAGAACTGGAGGTTTATCTCAAATTTCATCATTCTATTGGAAGCAAAGTATCATAGTTTCAGTTTGGGTTTGTGGTAGTTTGCTGCTGTAGAATATTTTGCTTTTTACACTTGAAATAACTTTAGCTTATCTAATTGAAGTAATTATAAGATGTATTTATTTTATTTCCTTCAGACTTGCTATATTATTTTATGTTTTCCTTACAAAAACAAACTTTTTGTGTCAGTTCACTAAAAGAATGTAATTGAGGTCTTGTCACTTGGAAGCTAATTTAACATTCTTCACTTAAATTAAATGTAATATTCTTGACTATGTAATTTTTATTCATAAAATCAATTACACTAATGATCTGAATTCCACTATTTTAAGTTATTTAAAAATATAGGGGAGGTCACTTAGCCCCTAAATCTCCACCCCAAAACGGCCCTAAAATCAATTTTCAATCGATTTTATTTCATAGTTACCGAATTTTCCGTTACCGAATCTTCCGTTACCGTATCTTCCGTTACAGAATTTTTCTAAATTTTAAATAATTATGTTTAAATTTAGTTTAGTTAACCATTAGACGCAAATAAGAGAAGAGGTGATATTTTATAATACAAAATTAATGAAAATGTGTAGTGAGCCCCGATAAAAATAAAATATAAAAATAATATATATAAACAAAAAAAAGAATTCAAATTAAAATAAAAATCTACCTACCTCTCTCATTCTCTCTCTCTCTCTCTCTCTCTCTCTCTCTCTCTCTCTCTCTCTCTCTCCCCTATTAAATGAGGAGGAAGAAGAAAAGACTGAACCCGGTTGCAAAACGGCGGAAGTTTTCTGGACCAAAGTCTAGACATTTGTGACTAAAAACTACCTAAAATCAGAGACGCTCCACGCGTAACTTCCACTATATAAAAAAATGAAAAAGAAAAGAATACTGAAAAATAAAATAATTTTGAACAATCACAAAAATTAACGCAAAGAGACTTTTGATGTTAGCTGAAACCAAATTCCGCGCCTGTAGTGTGTGAACCTGGTTAAAAGAATATAAACTGACAGCCATAGGCCAGATAAGGAGAAGGGACTGCAAGAGAAACCGGAACAAGAAAAATGGAGTGCCATAGAACCCGGAACAAGGGAAGGGACTGCCATAGAAACTGGAACAAGGGAAGGAACTGCCATAGAAACCGGAACAAGGGAAGGAACTCCTATAGAAACCGGAACAAGGGAAAGGACTGCCATAGAAACCGGAACAAGGGAAGGAACTGCCATAGAAAACGGAACAAGGGAAGGAACTGCCATAGAAACCGGAACAAGGGAAGGAACTACCATAGAAACCGGAACAAGGGAAGGAACTCCCATAGAAACCGGAACAAGGGAAGGAACGGCCATAGAATCCGGAACAAGGGAAGGGACTGCCATAGAAACCGGAACAAGGGAAGGGACTCCCATAGAAACCGGAACAAGAAAAGGGACTGCCATAGAACACATGGTTCTAAGAACATCTGAGATGATTATGGACATGGAGGAACCCAGGAGGAGAAACTAAAAACCAAATTAACTACATAACTATCAACAACACATTCAGGAATGCAATGGTTCACTGCAAAATCTACTCAAGTGCCCACTGTGGAAGCGACCATCGCCCCGTTATATGCAAACTAAGAGTGAAACTACGGAAACTGAAGAAGCCCAACGCAGCACCGAAATTGCAATACAACAAATTCCTGAGCGACCCGAACCTGAAGGAAAAATATATGGCCAGTGTGTAAAGAAGATACGAGGGACAAAATGTAAATGGAAACTCAAAATAGGACATACTAAGAGAAGCTTTAGGGACATCCGCAAATGATATCATCCCAAAAGAGAATGGACGAAAAAGAAAAAATGAATGGATAACTGATGAGATTCTCGATATGATGTAAAGGAGACAGAAAACTTTACCAAGATAGCGAATGGAATACAGAAAACTACACAACGAAATACGAACCAAATACAGGCAGGTTAAAGATGAGTGGCTAAACAAAAAAATCTGCAGAAATATATTGAGTACCACAAAGGAGATATGCATAAACAAATAAGGGTACTAACAGGATAGAAGACATGCTCGTCAACAGGATGCATAAAATCAAAGGATGGAACTCTCATATTAGAGAAGGAAAAATTCTCCAATGCTGGAATGAATATATTGGAGAACTCTTCCATAACGAAAGAGTACAACCAGCAATACTCAGAATTACCAACGGGCTGAAATTCTAAAAACCGAAGTAGAAGCTGTTTCTGAACAAAAACAAGGCGGCAGGGCCAGACGGAATTGTAACAGCTGACAGCCTTAGATGATTTTGGCATAGACAAGATTACTGAAATAATAAGTTAAATCTACAACAGTGGGGATATACCGAAGGATCTATGCAAATCTATTTTCATAGCACTGTCTAAGAAACCAGGTGCAAACAGGTGTGAACTCTACAGAACAATCAGTCTAATGAGCCACATAACAACACTCATCATCCGTATTCTGATGAATAGATCGCACAGCAGAATCAGGCCAGAGATAGGACAAGAACAGTGCGGGTTCGTTAAAGACACCGGAACAAGGAACGCGACATTCATGCTCAGAATGTTATCAAAAAGAGCAATACAGATGTAGAAGAAGGTGTAACTGTGTTTTATAGACTACGCAAAGGCGTTTGACAAAGTACGCAACAAAGATCTGTTAGAGCTGCTCAGCAACTTTGACATATTCGGGAAAGACATTAGAATAACCAAAAACCTCAACTGGCAGCAAACCGCCTGCAAAAAGATAAAAATGAGTTTAGCAGATATACAAAAAATAGAAAGGAGCCTAAGGCAAGGATGTGTCGTCTCACCAGACTTATTCAAGCTATACAGCGAGGCAACTCTGAGAGAACTGGAAATCCTACCGGGATTCATTATTGGCGACCACAATCTTAGCAACATAAGATACGCAGATGACACAGTGCTGATAGTAGACACGGAATGGAAACTACAAAACCTCCTACAGAAGGTAGCGAAGAAAAGATAGAAGGGACAAAGTATAAACTACAAAAAGGCAGAATGCATGATCATCAGCAAAAAGATGAGCCCGAAATGTGATTTACAGGTCGGGGACACTTAAATCAAGCAGGTGCGAAAATTTAGATATCTGGGAAGTGTTCTGACAGAGGACGGAAAGTGCGACGCTGAGATCCGGAGACATATTGGGATGGCCAAAGATGCATTCTAAAAGCTAGGCAGAGTATTACGAGACAAGAGAGTTTCGTTGGTAACAAAGAAAAGAATGCTAAACTGCTACGTTATATCTGTCCTCCTTTACGGAAGCGAATATTGGACGGTCTCATCAAAGATGAAGAAAAGACTCCAAGCAACAGAGGTATGGTTCTACAGAAGGATGCTAAGGATATCATGGACCGAACATGTGAGCAAGGATTAGGTTTTGAAGAGGGTGCAAACGAAGAGGAAACATACTTAACATCAGGAAGAGGCAGCTGAAATTTCTAGGACACGTAATGAGAAAGGAAGGCTTGGAAATTCTTATACACACATGGCAGATAGAGGGAAAGAGGGAAAGTAACATGTGACATACCTAACAAGCTTAAGCAAGTGGATGGCAGAACAGGGTCTGGGAGAAATAACAAAAAGACAAAAAATATTGAGAACTATAAGGGACAAGAAGAAGTGGAGAGCCATGATCGCCTACGTCATGAAGGGACACTGTACATAAAAGAAGAAAGACTACTACTACCAAGTTCTGACTTCGATCTACCCACTACTGAGCCAAACAGACTTTCCCCTGACGGCTACCAAGATCGGACTTATGAATAAATTTTTGTTACCCCGAATTACAAAGGACTCACTCAAGTTGATTATGCTCTTAATTTATGCTTTTTCTTTGAATTTCTACAGCAGCGAGATGTCACAAAGCCAAACCGAAAATAAAATTCTTTGCCCCTAGTGGAACAATGAGATTACTTCTTGCACTTCTCGCTTGTGGAACTCCCTTCCAGGGTCCAGGTTTTCCAGGCAGCTTTAATCTTCAAAAATTTAGATTCAGTGTCAATCGTAATCTACTGTCCTCCTCATTACTCTTCTTCTGTTCTCGCTCCTTTGTAATATTTTCTGTTCTTAATTCTTCCACAGCCATTAACCCCTTGTGTCTTAGTGGCTTTACTGCCTTGCATGGGATGAACTCAACTTAAAAAACGTTTCCACTTCAGGCTGTGGCTAGCACTATGACTTGGCCCTAAGTAAAGAATGCAATGTACCAGAATTAAGAACTGATGTCAATAAAAGAAATAAGAATGAAACTGTTACAATAATTCATGTGAAAGGTGTTGAAGCTTGCTCAAAATTTATTTTCAGCACCTAAAAATGAAGCTATGTAGAGAAAAATGTTCATAAGAATGTGAGGATTTACTGTAGTTGCTGAAGTGACATAAGTCCTTGGTAGAGAATGTAAAGTATTAGTAACGATACTGTCTAATTTTGTTGAGACATTTGTGCACAGGCATGCTGCTGGGGTAGTGAGTTGAATTACTGAAAAAAACTTGGCCTGGTTTTGTGTT